GGGGGGGGGGGTGGTTCATGATGACGAGGCACAATCATCACAGAACGTGACTAAAATATGAATGGTGGTGATTCTTCGTTCCGTCTCCATACTTCGAGGGCGGAGACCATGCTGCCGCTCCGAAGCGCGGAAAAGATCGGATTTCTACTCTCCACATGACGTGTGTCCTCCAGCATCAGCATTCCTGCGCAGGCCGCGTGTTCCTCGAGAGTGTGCACGCTGAGGCGACACAGTTTGAGCCGCGGTTGCTTTGACAGACAGGGCCACAGCAGCGTGGCAGAGTGACCGGCACTGACTGCAAGTCACTAAGCTGGCGGTGGCGGGTCATGATAGCAGGGTAACCCCGAACGATTGGAGGTTCGGTCCCGCATGATCGCCTCAATCTTGAATGCATTTTCGCACAGCTCTACAGCGACCTCGGTCTCCTTCTGGTGTTCCTTGGCGCCGTCCTCGCCTTTCAATTCCTCTACTACGAGGTGCCAAATCACATGCAACGCACCGCCCGCAAGGAAGTCAAGAGCTGCCTTGACTTTACTCTGACGGGAGGTGGCGATGCTGAAGAACCCTTCGGGCCGTTCCCTGGGCCTCCAAGTTTTCGTGGCCTTGGCATCATCTTCCTTCCTGGGCCGGGGACTTCGGGACTTCGGGGTCAGAGCTTCTGGTCTCAACTCGTGCAGTTGAGGTCTCGGGCTATTCTTCCTCTATGCGTGGGCTGGCTTGTGCCCACAATCATTGCTGCAACAAGCATGGAACTTGTCGCACGGTTCTGGCTGGGATTTTCGTGACCAGAGGTACTCCTGAGACGTGTCCCTCATGGTCCTGGAGTACTGGAAGAGCAAGGCGCGCGGGGGATCAGAAGTCAACCAGCCAGTGGGCTCCCCGGAGTTTGCTGGCAGGAGTTCTTTGGGCAGCTGGAGACGAGGCAGCAAGGTCTCCTGGTGTAAGAGCCAGGCTAGCAGCTAGCAGGTGATCGCCGCCCGATTCTGAGCGTGATGGCATTGGTCCCACTGCGGGAGCTGCTGCAGCTCCGTGCACACAAAGGTCAGTTTACGCCCAAAGCGAGACAAAGGAGCGACGATTTGCCTGTGCAGCAACTAGTGGAGAAGTAATTTGGGCAGTAGTAGTGCATGTCATGATGTATGCTTCGTCACGCAAACTCGAACTTGACGACCAGGCCAGCGATGTCGTGTGTGAGAGGCATCACTGCCCTATCGCATGTAGAGCTTTCCATCGCAGAGCTTCGTCCTACACTTGCACCCCTGCATGTGTGCATAGTTCCACTGTTCTTGGCTTTTAGCACCACGTCGCTTCGTAATGTGGAGATGAGGAGAAGCTTTAGAGTCTATTTCCAACAGCGGGCTGTAGCCTACTATCTCAATAATATTCGTGCTGGTGGCCTCGGAAATTCCAAGACAAGATAGGATGACCAAGGGCTGTTCACACTTTGCTCAAATTAGAATCAAGTTTGTAACAAAGCCGACTGTAAATTGAAGAGAGCTTGTTCGCCAGAAATTGCTGTGGGGTTCGCAGCGATGTCCGTGTTGTTGGCGGCCGCCTTCAACATCGTCTCGAGCGCGGGCGCCTCTTTCTGGGCAGGCTGTCAACAGTGTCATGAAGAGCACAGCGCCAGTCTGTCAGAACCGATCGTGATGGGAATCATCATCTACCAAGGTGAGCATAATCTTGGTCAACAAGCAGATTGCTTCAGTATGCCGCCGGGGCACCAAGTGCTCCGTCAATAAAAGCAAACCAGCTGTATCGGGCATGCAGTATACGGACACAGTCGGTGCTGGACTCGTGTCTGTTCACAGACATCACAGAAAGATTCCCTGACAAAGAAGTCATGTTTTTTGAGGGAGCGGGCACATGGCATCATGTGTTGCATAGCTAGCATGGAGACACGGTGGAAGCCCATTCTGAAAATCATGACTCCCATCCGCCCTAAAGTAGTCTCCGCATGCCATCCTGCAGCAGTGTGACTCCCAAAGCTTTGTAGATGCTGCCTGCCTGATACCGCCGTCACCTCCGTCCACAGAGGCTTCGATTTCATTTTGACGATGCTTTTTCTCAACTTCCTGACGACAGCGTCCCGCTCTCAGAGTCTCTGAATCTAGATTTGCGGAGGCAGTGACCCAGCCATGTCAGAGGTCGCTGCTGGAAGTCCTGGCAAAGCTCCAGTGGTTTGAGAAGAAGCACCTGCCGATGCGCGAGCGAGTCTGATCAGCAGACATCGTTTTTATAGCTGCTGACAAGCCAAACCCACGATCTCTTGCGTCGCAGAAGCTGCAGAATCCAAGACCTGAATTTTCCGAAGCCCCAGTCTGGCACATTTTTTGCGTATCCCAAGCTGGTCGTTGTCAACCTCGCCAAAAAGACCCAACAAGCCCAGGATGGCTCATCGCAGGCGCCCTGTGATCGGGTAAAGGCTTGACCTTTCAAGTTGCTCGAATCCAGCGTGTTGGCTTGGGAGTGTCGCTTAATGGGCTTAATGTTCGTTCATTCGTTTGTGTCTATATATACCTATAGATATAAAGCAGAATATAGATACATATATACATATATACGTACATGCATAGATGTACTTTGTACATCGCGATTGCAGAGACTTTCAAGGGCAGCTCTAGCATCATCACCTCTCCCTCCCACGTCGGCTGGATCTCCCATCGTCCATGCTTCGAAGGCAAAGTATTTATGGCAGCACCAAGGGCTAAGGCAGCACAAGAGAACGCAAGCAATGTCATTGCTCTTGCCCAGCTCCACGCAGGCATTGCGCTTAGCACGGTTCTCCTGAACAACTGCAGCAATGAGGCATGCAGCTCTTTTCAATGATGCTCATGTACAGTCTTGAAACATCCCCAGCCATCCACTGCGCTGTACGAGGAAGAGCTGTCTAGTTGATGGCAGTTGCTCCGTTACATGGGCGTTGCGCCTCCGCGGGCGGGTTAGTGGCTCCAAGAGATGATTTGACATTTATCGTCGTAGCAAACACCAATCACCCACCCGGTGTAATCGTGTGTTTAAGCTTCAGATCAGCCCGGAAGAAGGGCCGTCGATACCCATGGGTCGAAGCATCAACTGGCAAGATGCAGTCAGTGGCTCCGCAGCCGGTGCCGTGTCCAAGACTGCCACAGCCCCGCTGGAGCGAGTCAAGATGGTGTTGCACAGCAAAAGAGAGTCGGGTTTTGTTTTTTCTTCGCAGTTCCGCCCTCATGAAGCAGACGCAACTCCAGGCTTCAGAATCAGCAGCTGTCTGTCGGCAGGGCTGCAAGGACACCACTGCGCAACGTGGTACACGCCGCTGCGCAGCCGCTTGGCCTTGGCAGCTTGCGATGTGATGAGTTTTGGTGTTGGTTCACTCGGGTTTCGAGTTGTAATTTCCCAAAGATTGTTCTACATGAATATGGTGAGTTGGACAAATGCTCTTCGGCGATGTTTGCCATAAGAGAACGCGACAGTATTAATCCTACCTTGAAACCGTGTTCGGCTGACAGTATCCAGTTCCGAAAATATACACCGTTCATTTGCGAGGTCGTTGGCTTGAAGATTATCCTAATGCACATGGCGCACAGAAGGATCTGCAGCTCTATGTTTCTTGTAGCCTGTACTTGCACAAAGCAGTGAATGTCACCTGCATAGATGGATCGTAATTGGCACATAGATTGCATAAGCACCGGCACAGCGTTTAGTAATGCATGACCGCAGGGCAAGGGCAGGTAAGGATACATTCCACACATATTGCATACTGGCTGAAAGATATGTCATGCTGTGCACAATCGTAGAACGCTGGCACATGCTTGCAGGGTAACCACACATGAGACGAGACTACCATCCTCAGAGCCTTGCAGGCCAGATTTGTCCCTCGGCCAAGGCTGAACAAAAGGTCGTACTACCTCACCAGCACAGTTGCAAATGTAGGCATCACTTTCAAAACAGAAGCCGCGTGACTTCACTCATGCAATCCACAAGAGACAAGGATGGACATGTATAGCGTAAAGAAATGACGCTTGGCAGTTTGCAGTTGGTACAGAGGGATAGCTCCCAAATGTGCTGAATTCATGTCCTGACTTCAAACAACGTTCCACTCGCCAAGACTTCAGAGCATCCTTCGGTTAAGGTTCGCTCGGTTCCACTCGATTCACTGCCTTTGTTAACCGTGTTCTTCGCTTCAGTCCTTTTGGGCCACCTCTTCACAATCTTTCCGAAGCCTGACGTGTCTCATGATAGTTGGGGTCAGGTGGCAATAGATCATATGGGTAATCGCATTTGTCATCACCTACGACTGTGTTCTGACGTCCCACAGGCTTCTGCAGGAGCCATGCGGACTGAGAGGGTTTTGGCGCGGTAACTTGGCCAACGTCCTCCGCGTCGTTCCTACGTATGGGGCCCGATTCTGGCTGTTTGCCCTGTGCGACCAGACGCTGGCCTTTGTGCCACAGACAGACACAAGGCGTGGCGTGCCTAGTAATTAGTCTTGTCCCGGAGCCAGGGCACTCAATATGTTGCAGAACCAGGGACGTCAGGAGATGAGAAAAATCTGACAGCCGCAGGCGCTTCATCTCGGGCGGCATGGCGGGTGTTGGTGCCCTGCTGCTGACGCATCCTCTGGACTGGGCTAGCAGGGTATATGCTAGGTCTTATGTGTGTCCTTTTTGGGGGACAGCTTTGAGGGGTTGCCGGCTCGCGATACAGTAAATCCTGCGCAGATGAGTGAAGGGTGAAGGGGTTCAGCATCTGCATTGAGGATGGTTCGGCGACGATGATAGGCGTACTCTCTGGTCTTATTGGACTGGTAGAAACACGTCAATGTGGACACGCTTGCAAAGGTCCTAAGGTTAAAGGTATCGTACAAGCTTTGACGACAGTGCCTTCAAATCTCCTGATGTACACGGAAGTTCTGGTTCCTGCGAGGACATGGTACGAACCCGCCTGGCTGCGGCACGTGTGTTTGCGGACGAAGCATCCTACAACGGCTTTGTTGTCTCGTGGCAGCACGTAAAACAATCAGAGTGTGCGCCTTCTCCGAATTCGTCGTGAGAGAGTCTGCTGCATCTCACACCCAGCACACCCCGGAATTGGCATCTTGGCCCCACCGTCCCAGGATTGCTTCCTGAGCGCTTGGAGAAAGGGCGGCGTGCGGGGGCTCTACGCCGGCTGCTTTGCCAGCATGTTGGAAATTGCTCCATATAGCGCCATCGTCTTCACCTCCTATGAAGGTGGGAGGTCGCAAAAGCTGGCAAGACATCACTTTATCATGCACTTCCCATGGCTTCTCAGCAGGCATCAAGCAGCGTTTGATGCCTGCGGGCAGCACTGGCGTTTTACCATCCGGGCCGCAGATTCTGGCAGGAGCTACTTTCTGATACAGCCAATACCACATTGGCCCCATTGGATGTATTTGCGTATTTGCGAGTCGCTCCGTGCAGCCTCTAGAGCCCTAGCAGAGTACTAGTAGCTCTACGTACTTTTCGCAACATACGGAGCATCTGTAACTGCAACAGCACGAAGGCTTGCTGGAACCTGACAGGAGCATGCAGCGGGATGATTGCGGCAAGCATTTGCTATCCATTGGACACGATTAGGAGGCAGCTGATGTTAGATGGAGCACTTGGCTTTGATGCCAGATATGGTGGCAGCATTTGGAAATGCTGTAAGAGCCTGTGGCTCCAAGGCGGCTTCTTATTGTTTTACCGGGGGTGGACAGCAACGTTGCTGAAAGCAGTGCCGACCGTGACGATCACATTTCTGACGAAAGACTTCCTGTCCGACATGCTGAAGCAGTCCGGATGACTCGGCAAGCCCTGCCACGGACAAGACTTGTCTTAGATCGTGACGCAACTGTGCCTTCGCTCCATGGCAAATGAGGTACTGCGGCTGAAGCTCATGGATCTAAACAGGGCGTGTGTGAACGATGTCGAATGATGTCGACGAAGTTGCACTAGACTTTCTGGCCGCAGATCGCGAACGTGACAGGCCGAAACTCGTGATGGTTCGGTCAGAGCGCGAAGCCTTCGCTTGCAGGGACCGCAGGACCCGGCAGGACATCGCCACGCCTCGCAGTTCTTCATCGGGTGCCTCTTTGAATCAGCTTGTCGGAGCAGAAAAGTCCAGCGTGATCAGCTTGACAAGCAGCGAGCAGGGTTCAGGAGCAGACTTCCGACTGTGCAGGCAAACAGTGTCGGGTTCTATCAGATCACAAAGCTGCTCGGACTTCGCTGGAAGACCACCTGCAACTGCAAAGACTTCACCTCTCTTCCCCGGTGTTTCTGGCTCCAAGGTTGCTGATCATCCCCACTGTTATGGGTCCTGGACTCAGTCGTGAGCAGTTGCAGGCTTCCCGGCTTGTCCCTGTACCGTAGTCAACCGCAACTTGCCCCAGGACTGGAACGATTGCAGGGGCGAAAGTCGGCAGTTTACAGTCGCAAGGCCATTACAGCCAGTGTCGCAAGCAGTCTCAAGTCTCAAGTGTCGCGTTGTGTTCCATAACCCATGCCACAACCGGTCACTTAGTGTTTAGTACTTTAGGTTTTGAGGGCCACAGCTGCTGGATGTTTTGGCAGCGTATTGTTTTAGGTGGTTTATGGCCGCGCATGCAGGTGATCCTTAGTATCGTGGTCACAGCGATTGGAGTGGGAGCCTCTGTTTCTGTGGAAAGCTCAAGGTGCAAAGACGTCAGAGAACAGTCCATCCTTTCGCTCTTTTGGGCGTGATCCAGATATGCTTGCCTGAAAGGCTGCTGGCAGCAGAGCATGTTGTGCACGAGACTGTCGGAGATATTTAGAATAATTGGAAACGCGACCTGACGCGATGCCTACAGGTGGCCGTGGCGACCGTCTCGGACTTCGAGATGAACGCCTGAAGCCGAGCAACATATGCTTGGTGCAGATTGTATTTGGTGCAGCGGCTTTGTCTGTGGACTGCTGGCACTTCATTTTTGATGCTAAGAGCAGTCCGGGAAGGTTCGCGGGACCATCCTGGCGGCTCTCTCAATCGTGAGCACTGCCCAGCACTTGGTCGCCCGCTTTGCCTGCGAGGAAGATGCGAATCAGAGCCCTGACCAGGCACAGTACCAAATTTGGCAAGGCTCGAAGCAGCACGAGCTACTCATCTGCAAGATGCAACTCTTGGGTCACCAGAGCGATCGTAGCACATCGAGGCATGGCGTGACCGCTACGCAGATCACGTACTCCGTCGCATCATTCTCAGTACTTTGAGCTTAAGTCAAGATTGCGGACTCGCCTGAATCGGTAGACAGGCATGGCCGCAATCCATTGCAGGGCTTGCAAGCTCGCTGACAGCTGATGCACTTGGGCAGCACCAGCACCGAAGTGAGATTGCCTGAGCACGTTTGTTAGCCGCTGAGCAGACCCAGGTGCTCATGCCGCAGTTGAAGGCACAGCTTCAAGCAGAAGCAACTTGTGAGAATCTGTAAGACGCTCTCACATCACAGAAACCAACCCCGAATAGATCCCAAATCTCAAGAAACTGCAGAGGTCCTCATTCTAATGAGACCATCCTGCCTTCTGGAACATCAGCTCTCAGGCCAAGGCAGGGGCACCTCTATTCGCTAAGTACGTCTCTTCTACAAAGCCCATATTTTATGTGTTTACAGAGTCTGAAAGTTTCGGAAAGAAGGGTCCCTTCTGAAGAGTTCTTATGGACAGAATCCTGGACTATGTCGATCGGTTTCTGGATTGTTCTCACTATTCTGAAGCTCCTAGATTCGCTCCAATGTTCAGCCATCGATACTGTTGTATCATGTCCATGCAAGTCTGTAAATACAGTTAAGCACAGATGTGCGTAGAGTGTGTCGACATTGTAAGAAGAAACAGGAGGATACTGCCAACATGCATAGTAACGACAGGCAGAGTCGGTCAGTCGTGTTTACGCTGACAGGCGATCTCTTCTGGATCGCTCTCTGCAACGTATTGGCGGTGTGTACCAACATCTCTGTCTGGAGCCCGTTGCAGGGAGCAGCAGCCGAAGAGCAACAGTGGGATTTCTGCACTTTCCAGTCCTGAAGCACGATGGGCCCGAAGAAGCTACCTAGACCACCCCAGGTCTATGGCCTCATCGGCAAGACATCCCCAGTGACCTACCAGGCAAGACGGCTTGAAGCCTTTGCTTGAAGCTGCCAAAAGCAAAGGCCACCGAAGAAAGGGTCCATCCCGCTAAGATGCCATCGTCGTCCGATTGTTTTGCTTTCCGGGGGTTTGAGATTAGGATACTGCTTGGAAACCAAGCCCAACACTCCGTCCCTCCAAGCAGCAAAACCACGTGCCGTTGGCTGTGGCTGTGTCGCTGTGGGTCAGGGGAAGTCAGGTCAGTCAGGTCAGGTATGACAAAGCCCAAAGTCGGGACCTGTGCCGGTGAAGGTGGTTGGACAGCTGAAGACGGTGCTTGTCGTGGTATTTGGCTACATCTTCTTCGATGTATGCCGGCAGCACATAGATCGAGTTCCCGAGACTTTGAGGCATGGTCAGTGAAGTGTCCAAAGTCGAGCCAAGGTTCGTGTTCCCCTGCATTGGTTGAGCCTTGGACTTTACGCCCCTGGGCGTCAGTCGCCCTCAGTTCCCTGAAGCTTCTTGATGGGCCGATGTGCACTCCTCGCAGTCCCCACTAAGGATGCTTCGCTTCGCAGGCGTCGGCGTTGCAGTCGTTGGCGTGTTCAGCTACGTGGCTCGCCTCAGGTTAGAGTATGGGCCCTGCAAGCGTGGCATCAGCCGGTTTCATGAAGCATCCAACTTGGCGAACTCAGGCCTTGTGCAAGAGTGCAGAGGGCCGTGAGAAGACGAGCTAGCATGGGGACAAAAATGCATGCTCCGACCCTAGGCCTTATAGGTCCTACGTTGCAATTCCGGCGGCGGCACGGCATTGTGCCTTTCATGTTGGGGAATGTCAATCCCAATTGGGGCAATCCAGCTAAATAGCTCCTGCTTGCAAAATTGCCAACAAGAAACACGGGGATAGATGCATAGACGCATGGGAGTCACACATCGACACTTGCATTCACAGCGAGCGGCACGGGAGCTCGTGCCACCAAGATCTTGACGAGTTTCTAGTTGAAAGCATCTTGCGTGCCCTGTCTCGCGGCACTGAAACATTGATGCGTTTCCTCTTGTCCCGCAATCGGATGTTGGGACGTCTTGTCGGTACGAAGATTTCGGAAATTTTGTGACTGCGAGCGTGCGTACCGAAAATTTCGGAAATTTTACTATTGGGAGCGTGTCCCTCTAAACCTACCAAAATTCCGAGAGTTTAATACCGCGCGATTTCCTAAAGTTACCAAAATTTTGAAATGTCTTTTACCGGGAAAGATGATCTCGGTACTACAATTTCCGAAATTTTGGTTCCGCGCGTACTTAAGATTTTCATAAAGAAACGCGCCGAAGGACGAGGTTGTAGGGGCTAGGGGCGTAATGATTCGATGATCTCGTCTTCTAATTTTAATGATATTATATTTATCTTTCTATCGAAAATATTAATAAGTTATTTCTTCTAATGTTTTATATTCTCTGATTTTCGTTTTTTTGTTATTTTTCTTATCTTTGCTTTTTTTTGGTGAGTTTTATATTTATTTTTCTGATTTCTTTCTGGCTTTGGGGTTTGGTGTGGTCGGGTTGGGAGATGGGTTTAGGGTAAACTCTAAATCTTTAAATTCTACGTTTGACCATATATATTTTCGATTTTATCTGACTGATTCTTGTTTCTTGATTTTTCGTTTTTTTTTTTTCTATGTTTGTATTGTTGAAGGTTTTGGAATGTCGTTTGATATTTGTTTTATTGATTTTTTCTTTGGCCTTTTTTTCTTTATTTTATTTGGTTGTTGGTGAAATATTACTATATTTATTTATTTGAATTTTTTATGAAATATTTTGGAATTCAAATTAATTTTCTTGTTCGTTATTCTCTTTCTTTTTCCGATCGGAGATCTTCTGATATCTTTTTCTTATTTTCGTTTTCTTTAGAGGAGAAAAATTACTTGGTTTTTCTAGAATCTTTCTATTTTTTTGACCATATTTGGTATTTTTAACGAATAACTTGAAAATTATAGGAAAGGTTTTGAAAACTAATTTGAAGATTTAATTTAATAGAACTAATCTAGACTTTAAAGCTTCTCGTTACTGACAAATAAATATGGTGAATTTTCGTAATTAAAAATATTTTTTAGGAATTGAATAAGAATAGATTCAAATTGTCCCCGACACACTAATAATGACCACAATTAGGGACACAAATAAATTGTACCAGGAAATACTGCACGCGGGAAGCACGTAGGCTGTAAACCTGAAGAAAATTTTTGCCTAAGGCCAGGCTCGTAGCTAAACCCAAAAAAAGGTAGCTTCTTCAGAGCCAAAGCTGGCGTAGGCAGGACTCTGGACACAAAAACTGCCGGAAGTTCAAAGGTGTTTTTTCCTGACTTCAGAGGATTTTTTTCCGAGAGCTGAAAATGAGTGAGCAAATTTTACTCCAGAAGTTGTCCAAAAAAGCACAAAAAGGAGCACAGCATTTTGCACCAGAACTGCACAGAGGCTGTTACTTAGGCTCAAGTGAAACGACCTGGGGGTCCCTCCAGTTCATCACAAATCTGACTGCGTTGTTTCAAATTTTTGGGGCCCGGTTGGGGTGGTATAGTGGTTAGGGGTGGGGTGGTTGGGAGGTTGGGCTGGTTCGGTGGGTGGTTCGGGTGCTGGAGTGTGGTGGTTGGGGTGTTTCGGGTGGGGGGGTGGTTCGGCGGTGTCGTGGGGTGGATGGGGTCTAGATACAGACGGTCAAGGCAAAACTTGTAAACGGTTTCAAGAAGGCTCCGTTTAGAGAAGCAAGAATCCCCAATATTCTAATGCTTTTTTGTCTAGATATTTATATTTAAAACCATTATTTAACTATTACTATGCCGGGGACAAATTAAAAGAATAAAAATAAAAAAAATTCTCTCGACAAATCAAATATTTCTCGATCCTTCAAAAAAAAACCTAAGATAACACAAGATAATCAAATAACAGAAATAAAAGAAGAAAAAAAAAAAAACCTAAAAATAAGAGAGAGAGACAATACAAATAAAAGAAAAATAGAGAAAGAAAATAATGAAAATTTTCCAATAATTCATCAAAAAAATAATATCTAAAAGAAAAATCGAAAATTAATCATTACGAATATATATAAATATCTAAAAAAAATAATCTCAAAATATAGAAATATTCAATTAATGAAATTTGTGAAAAAAATAATCATCAAAATATTTCATATAAATAAAATTCTAAAATTTTGGTATCATAATTCCCTCCTACCTTCTCTAATATTTATCATTATTCTCTTCTTCTTTTTTGATGTCTCTCAATTCTTCTTCAAATATATATATCTTTATTTTCTCTTCTTTTTTGTCTCCCAATCTTCTTTCTTCGCCCATCTCCGACCGCAAACCTTCATTTCCCTACCTCATTTATTTCAATATCATCTCTCTTGCTTTGGTTACCCCATCGCCTTGCCAACAGGAATAATAAGGTCAAGTGCCTGCTTAACAAGAGAAGGGAAGGAGCGGCCTACCCCCATTACTACCATTACGACTACAACTATTAATACTACATTACTACTGCTGCTTCTACCACTACTACAACTACTACTACTACTACTACTGTCACTACTACCACTACCACTACCACTACCACTGCCACTACCACTGCCACTGCCACTGCCACTACCACTACCACTACCAAAACGGCCACCGCCACCGCCACCGCCACCGCCACCGCCACCACCACCACCACCACCACCACGACCACGACCACGACCACGACCACCACCACGACCACCACCACCACCACGACCACCACGACCACGACCACGACCACGACCACGACCACGACCACGACCACCACCACCACCACCACCACCACCATCGGCGTCATCATTACGACAACTACTGTTATCATCGGCAGAGCAGCAG